AGCCCGGGGCTCTTACATTGGACTGCAAGCCTTCCATAGACCGGGAAACCCGGCTCTGACAAGGAGACTGCAGACCCTTTCCAAGACCTGGAGACCAGCTCTGTAAAAGGGGAGACTGCAGAGCCTTCCATGACCTTGAGACCGGCTCCTGTACAATGGTGACTTTGCAGAGCCTTCCATAGACCTGGAGACCGGCTCTATTCAATCCGGGAGGACCTTCCATAGCCCTTCCATCGGGACTAGTGCATTCATGTATTGCGAAGACACGGCTCTGTACAAGGATACTGCAGAGCCTTCCATAGACTGGAGACCGGCTTCTGTACATGGGACTGCAGAGCCTTCCATAGACTGGAGACTGGCTCTGTACAAGGACGACTGCAGAGCCTTCCATAGACCTGGAGACCAGCTCTGTACAAGGAGACTGCAGAGCCTTGCCATAGACCTGGAGAACCGGCTTCTGTACAATGGGACTGCAGAGCCCTTCCATAGACCTGGAGACCGGCTTCCTATACATCGGGACTTTACAGAGCCTTCATAGACTTGAAGACCTGCCTCCTGTACAAGGAGATGCAGAGACCTTCAATAGACTGGAGACCGGCGTGTACATTGGGGACTGCTGAGGCATTTCCATAGACATGGAGACTGGCTCTGTAAAGTGAGAATGCAGGAGCTTGTCCATAGACCCTGGTAGACCGGCTCTGTACAAGATACTGCAGAGCCTTCCATAGACCTGCGGAGACCGGCTCTGTACAATGGAGACATGCATAGACCTGGATGCACTTTCCATAGACCCGGTTGAAAGTCCGGCTCTGTACATTGGGACTGCAGAGCCTTCCATAGACCTGAGGAACCGAGCATCTGTACAAGAGACGGCTGCATTGGGAGCAGAGCCTTCCATTAGACCTGGAAACACGGCTCTTTCTGGTACAATTGGGACTGCAGAGCCTTCCATAGACCTATAGAAACCGAGCTCCTGTACCCAAGTCTGGGACTGCAGATAGGCCACTTCCATAGGACCTGGACCTGTAAATGGCCCCTAAGACCGGCCCCTGTACAATGGGACTGCAGAGTCTTCCATAGACCTGGGAAACCGGCTCTGTACAATTAGACGGCAGAGCCTTCCATAGACTTGGAGACCTGCACTCTGTGCAGTAATGCTTCATGGCATTGACGCAGTAACAGCTTCTTTCTGGCAACTCGACCATGCACAGTTATAGGAGGGTATATGGGATATATACACACACACACTATATTGCCCCAAGTATTGGGCCCCGCCCTTTCCACACACATGACCTTTTAATGGCCACCCAGTCTTAGTCCGTAGAGTTCAATATTGAGTTGGCCCCCCCGCCCTTTCCACACACATGACCTTTAATGGCCCCCCAGTCATTAGTCCGTGGGGTTCAATATTGGGTTGGCCCCTCCCTTTCTACGCACGTCACATGTTGGACCCGTAATGGCCACCCCAGTCTTAGTCCGTAGGGTTCAATATTGAGTTGGCCCTGCCCTTGTCCACGCACATGACCTTTAATGGCCCCCCAGTCTTAGTCCATAGGGTTAGCAATATTGAGTTGGCCCCGCCCTTTGCAGCTATAAAGCAGCTTCAACTCTTCTCTGGCCAAGGCCGTCCACAAGGTTTAGGAGGGTGTCTATGGGAAGGTTGGACCATTCTTCCAGAAGCACATTTGTCAGGTCAGGCACTGATGTCGGGGGAGGGGCACTGATGTCGGGGGAGGAGGCCTGGCTCGCAGTCTCCGCTCTAATTCCATCCCAAAGGTGTTCTATGGGTTTGAGGTCAGGACTCTGTGCAGGACAGTCAAGTTCCTCCTCCACCCCAAACTGGCTCCTCCATGTCTTTATGGACCTTGCTTTGTGCACTGGTGGGCAGTCATGTTGGAACAGGAAGGGGCCATCCCCAAACTCTTCCCACAAAGTTGGGAGCATGAAATTGTCCAAAATGTCGCCTTAAGAGTTCCCTTCACTGGAATTAGGGGCCAAGCCCAACCTCCTGAGGAACACCCCCACACCATAATCCCCCCTCCACCAAACTTTACACTGGAACAATGCAGTCACGGCAAGGGTATACCCTGTTCTCCTGGTCACCAACCAAACCCAGACACGGCCATGGGATTGCCAGACAGAGAAGCGTGAATTGGTCACTCCCAGAGAACACGTCTCTTCTGCTCTAGAGTCCAGAGTGGCGGCGTGCTTTACACCACGGCATCTGACGCTTTGCATTGCACTTGGTGATGGAAGGCTTGGATGCAATGCTCGGCCATGGAAACCCATTCCTTGATGAAGCTCTCTACACACTGTTGTTGGAGGCTCATCTGAAGGCCACACAAAGTTTGGAGGTCTTTTAGCTATTGACTCTGCAAGACAGTTGGCGACTTCTGCGCACTGTGCGCTTCATGCATGCGCTGACCCCGCCCTGTCAATGTGACGTGGCCTACACTATGGTGGCTGAGTGGCTGTTGTTCCCAGTGGCTTTCCACTTTGTTATAATCCCACTAACAGTTGAGCGTGGAATATTTAGTAGCCAGGAAAATGTCACGGATGGACTTATTGCCCAGGTGGCCACCTATCACGTGGACCATACACGCTTGGAGTCACTGAGCTCCTGAGAGCGACCCATTCTTTCACCAGTGTTTGTAGAAGCCGTCTGCATTGTACTAGGGGATGATTGTTATAACCTGTGTCCATGGAGGTGATTGGAAACACCTGAGTCACATGATATGGAGGGGATTGGAACACCTGAATCACATGATATGGGAGGGGATTGGAACAACTGAATCCACATGAAACATGATATGGAGATGTGGATTGGAACACCTGAATCACATGATTGGGAGGGGATTGGAACACCTGAATACATGATAGGGAGGGGATTGGAACATGCCTGAATCACATGATTTGTGGAGGGGATTGGCACACCCTGAATCACGAATGGATATGGAGGGGATTGGAACACCTGATTCACGTGATTGGGGGGGGCGATGGGGCCAATATCGCTTGCAAATATTAGTTATATATATAAAAACACATATGATTGTATACGGCACTTCACGTGTCTCTCAGCATTGACTCATCCATTTACCGCCCCCCCTCTTCCCCCCCGGCCTGTAATGGGTGTGAAGCGCGGCGGTAGGAAAGTGTCGCCTCTCCTATTTACAGAAAAGCTGCGAAGAGTCTCCCGGCACATATCAAACATGTCCCTTCCTGTCTCATTCCTCTCTCCTCCGGGGCCCCGTCTCATCATGGTCTTTGCCGGCACCTGCGGGGGTGGAGTGCGGGGTGGATGTGACCCTCTAATGCGGGTGGATATGTGGCCCTCATGCGGGTGGATGTGGCCCTCATGTGGATGTTTGGCGGGTGGATGTGGCCCTCATGCGGGGTCCCTCATGCGGGTGGGATGTGGCTCTCATTGCGGTGGGGATCGTGGCCCTCATGTGGCAATCATGCGGGTGGATGTGGCCCTCACGGCAGATTTTACACAAACGGGAAGATTTTGGGGTCCTGCAGAAATGTTCCAGATTTTATATCTCAGATCTGTCCGGGACGCAGAGCTCAGCGGTGAGGAACAATCCTGGTCACGTGACCCAAACCCAGGTCACCCGGCCGGTGTGGGCACAATGGCGTGCATCACCAGTTATGGTCACTTTGACTGCCCGCGGCACGAGGTCATGGCTCATGTGACCTGGAACCTGATGTCTATGATAAAGAGACCCTGTCACAACACTCTCCCTGTAAGATTATATATGTGGGCGGAAAGGCAGAAGAGCTGGGCCCAGCACAGACAGTAAAATAGACACTTCCAGAGGAGGAGAGAGGCTATGGCATGTAAGAAGGAGGAGCTGGGCCAGCACAGACAGTAATTAGATGCTTGAAGAAGAGAAGAGAAGGCTGTGGCATGTAAGGAGGGAGGAGCTGGGCCACCACAGACAGTAATTAGATGCTGAAAGAAGAGGAGAAGGGCTGTGGCATGTAAGAGGGAGGAGCTGGGCCAGCACAGACAGTAATTAGATGCTGAAAGAAGAGGAGAAGGGCTGTGGCATGTAAGAAGGGAGGAGCTGGGCCAGCACAGACAGTAATTAGATGCTGAAAGAAGAGGAGAAGGGCTGTGGCATGTAAGAAGGGAGGAGCTGGGCCAGCACAGACAGTAATTAGATGCTGAAAGAAGAGGAGAAGGGCTGTGGCATGTAAGAAGGGAGGAGCTGGGCCAGCACAGACAGTAATTAGATGCTGAAAGAAGAGGAGAAGGGCTGTGGCATGTAAGAAAGGGAGGAGCTGGGCCAGCACAGACAGTAATTAGATGCTGAAAAAGGAGGAGAAGGGCTATGGCATGTAAGAAGGGAGGAGCTGGGCCAGCACAGACAGTAATTAGATGCTGAAAGAAGAGGAGAAGGGCTGTGGCATGTAAGAAGGAGGAGCTGGGCCAGCACAGACAGTAAGTAGACACTCCCAGAAAAGGAGAAAGGCTGTTCTGTGATGTTCAAGGAGGCAGGAGCTGGGCCAGCACTGACACAATAAGATAAGGAGAGGGATGTAAAGTAGAAGGGCGGGGCCTGTGCGAGGAGCGGACTCTGCCGGAAGTCGTCAAATCTTCTCATTCAATATGTTCAATTTCACAAAAAAGAAAAATGGAAAAATCATCAGCAAAAGCCAAGAGCGGCAGAAGGCGAGATCCCAGCCTGGTGTCACTCCTGAGGTGTCACAAACACAACCAAGTGCAGAGATTACGGCTTCCTCCCAACAACTTGTCCTACAAGAGGAAATCGTGCCGGGAGATCGAACAAATTCCTGCTGATCAACTGACAGAAAACATTGGAGGGGGGGGGGACCTGAGAAACAACCAAGAGCCAGGGAAGAAGAAGAGAGGAGGAGGAGGCAGATCAGAGGAAGAAGAGAGAGGAGGAGGAGGCAGATCAGAGGAAGAAGAGAGGAGGAGGAGGATCAGAGGAAGAAGAGAGGAGGAGGAGGAGGAGGAGGAGGAGGGCAGAGGAAGAAGAGAGGAGGAGGAGGCAGATCAGAGGAAGAAGAGAGAAGGAGGAGGAGATCAGAGGAAGAAAGAAGAGGAGGATCAGAGGAAGAAGAGAGGAGGAGGAGGCAGATCAGAGGAAGAAGAGAGAGGAGGAGATCAGAGGAAGAAGAGAGGAGGAGGCGGATCAGAGGAAGAAGAGAGGAGGAGGAGGAAGATCAGAAGAGAAAGGAGGAGGAGGAGGAGGAAGATCAGAGGAAGAAGAGGAGGAGGAGGATCAGAGGAAAAAGAGAGGAGGAGGAGGATCAGAGGAAGAAGAGAGGAGGAGGAGGATCAGAGGAAGAAGAGAGGAGGAGGAGGAGGGAGGATCAGAGGAAGAAGAAGAGGAGGAGGAGATCAGAGGAAGAAGAAGAGGAGAGGAGATCAGAGAGAAAGAAGAGGAGGAGGAGGATCAGAGGAAGAAGAGAGAGGAGGAGGATCAGAGGAAGAAGAGAGGAGGAGGCATATCAGAGGAAGAAGAGAGGAGGAGGAGGAGATCAGAGGAAGAAGAGAGAAAGGAGGAGGCAGATCAGAGGAAGAAGAGAGAGGAGGAGGAGGATCAGAGGAAGAAGAGAGGAGGAGGCAGGATCAGAGGAAGAAGAGAGGAGGAGGAGGCAGATCAGAGGAAGAAGAGAGGAGGAGGAGGAGATCAGAGGAAGAAGAGAGGAGAGAGGAGGATCAGAGGAAGAAGAGAGGAGGAGGAGGCAGATCAGAGGAAGAAGAGAGGAGGAGGAGGATCAGAGGAAGAAGAGAGGAGGAGGAGGATCAGAGGAAGAAGAGAGGAGGAAAGGAGGATCAGAGGAAGAAGAGAGGAGGAGGAGGATCAGAGGAAAGAAGAGAGGAGGAGGAGGATCAGAGGAAGAAGAGAGGAGGAGGGAATCAGAGGAAGAAGAGAGGAGGAGGAGGAGGAGATCAGAGAGAAGGAGAAGAAGGAAAGGCAGATCAGAGGAAGAAGAAGAGAGGAGGATCAGAGGAAGAAGAGAAGAGGAGGAGGCAGATCAGAGAAGAAGAAGAGAGAGGAGGAGGAGGATCAGAGGAAGAAGAGAGAAGAGGAGGAGGCAGATCAGAGAAAGAAGAGAGGAGGAGGAGGATCAGAAGGAAGAAGAGAGGAGGAGGAGAGGAGATCAGAGGAAGAAGAGAGGAGGAGGAGGATCAGAGGAAGAAGAGAGGAGGAGGAGGATCAGAGGAAGAAGAGAGGAGGAGGAGGATCAGAGAAGAAGAAGAAGGAGGAGGAGGATCAGAGGAAGAAGAGAGAGGAAGGATCAGAGGAAGAAGAGAGGAGGAGGAGGATCAGAGGAAAGAAGAGAGGAGGAGGAGGAGGATCAGAGGAAGAAGAGAAGAGGAGGAGGCAGAGTCAGAAGGAAGAAGAAGAGAGGAGGATCAGAGGAAGAAGAGAAGAGGAGGAGGCAGATCAGAGGAAGAAGAATGAAGAGGAGGAGGAGGAGGATCAGAGGAAGAAGAGAGAAGAGGACCGCCACACCTCTGAGGAGGATTGATCAGAGGAAGAAGAAGAGAGAGGAGGAGGATCAGAGGAAGAAGAGAAGAGAAGAGGAGGCAGATCAGAGGAAGAGTAGAAGAAGATGAGGAGGAGGAGATCAGAGGAAGAAGAAGAGAGGAGGAGGACGATCAGAGGAAGACGAGAGAGAAGCCCCCCTCTGTCCAAGTATACCACGTCCACCGCCACCCCTCTGTCCAAGTATACCACGTCCACCGCCACCCCCTCTGTCCAAGTATACCACATCCACCCCACCCCCTCTGTCCAAGTATACCACGTCCACCACAACCCCTCTGTCCAAGTATAGACCACCATCCACCGCCCAAGTATACCCGTCCTCTGTCCAAGTATACCACGTCCACCGCCACCCCTCTGTCCAAGTATACCACGTCCACCGCCACCCCTCTGTCCAAGTATACCACGTCCACCACACCCCCTCTGTCCAAGTATACCACGTCCACCACCACCCCCCCTGTCCAAGTATACCACGTCCACGCCCCACCACCCCCCCCCTGTCCAAGTATACCATGTCCACCGCCACCCTCTGTCCAAGTATACCATGGTCCACCCCCCCTCTGTCCAAGTATACCACGTCCACCGCCCCCCCCTCTGTCCAAGTATACCCCCACCCCACCCCTCGTCCAAGTATACCACCATCCACCGCCACCCCTCTGTCCAAGTATACCATGTCCACCGCCACCCCTCTGTCCAAGTATACCCCCCTGTCCAAGTATACCACACGTCCACCGCCACCCCTCTGTCCAAGTATACCAATGTCCACCGCCACCCCTCTGTCCAAGTATACCACGTCCACACCGCCACCGTCCCCACCACCGCCCCCCGTCCAAGTATACCACGTCCACCACCACCCCCTCTGTCCAAGTATACCATGTCCACAGCCCCCCCTTTGTCCAAGTATACCACGTCCACCGTCATTCCCGGTATCTCCAAGTATCTGTCCATGTATGGACTCCTGCACAGTCCCACTTCTCCTGTCCCGGATTGTCCGGGTGTCATTCCACGGTATCTGTCCCCATTCTGTCCAAGGACACTGCCACAGTCCCACCCCTTTCCAAGTCCCGGATGCGGGTGTCATTCTCGGTATCTCACCCCATTCTGTATGTATGGACTCTGCACAGTCCCACTTCTCCTGTCCCGGATGCCGGGTGTCATTCTCGGTATCTCCCCCATTCTGTATGTATGGACTATGGACTCTGCACAGTCCCACTTCTCCTGTCCCGGATGCCGGGTGTCATTCTCGGTATCTGTCCCTGTTCTGTATGTATGGACTCTGCACACAGTCCCACTTCTCCTGTCCCGGATGCCGGGTGTCATTCTCGGTATCTGTGTGCACAGTACCACCTCCCTCTTGGCATGCACAG